TAGGCTATCACCCACGGTGGAGTTGTTTTTATGGCCTGAGTTTTCAGTTTGAGAAGGCGTTTTGTAGGCTGATTCGATGCCTACGAGGGATTTCTGCGATTTGCAGAGAGAGAGGTGGTCCATTGTAGAGAGAGGATGGGTTTCTACGAGTGATTCCAGGGATTTGCAGAGAGAGATGGATGAGACAAGGGGTGTCCATTGCAGAGAGAAAGGATGGGTTTCTACGAGTGATTTCAGGGATTTGTAAAGAGAGAGGTGGTCCGTTATAGAGAAAGGATGGGTTTCTACGAGTGATTTCAGGGATTTGTAGAGAGAGGGAGATGGGACAACGGGTGTCCGTTGTAGAGAAAGAGATGAGAGTATTTCTATGATTTGTAGAGAAAGATGGGACAAGGGTGAGAGAGAGGGAGATGAGAGGATTTTCTACGAAGATTGAAGGGAACTGGTATAGGAGTATGGGTTTACAGGCAACAGTATAGGCTGCATGAAGAGAAAGTTACAAAAGTAAATAGTATAACCAACTATCAAAAAGTTAATTAGGAAAGTCACCTTTGTAATTTACCTTTTCTGTGTTGGTTTGTTATTCTTAGCTTTCCTATTAATACTCTTTGTAACTTAATCATTAAAAACTGAATGAAAACATTTCTCAATATGGTATCATGAGGCCTTCTGTCTTCCGACTCCTGATCCTTTGGGAAAATTTTCTTGCATTTTCTTACCTACCAAACAAATCACTTTCATTCTCTTTCGTGTTCATCCATGATGGTTAATTCCTCTCACTCATATTCTCCAGTGATTGAACCTCTTCATCATTCTCCAATGCACACTAAGTGCCCTACGACTGCCAATTTGACCTCTTCCCCGATGAACACAAACCTTAATTCTTCCATTCAGGCATCAAACAACTCGATCACAATCAACAATATTGCATCATGATTCATAGTTGGTGTTCAATCTGCGCGTGACCTCTGGCTTAATCTTGAAAAACGTTTTAGCAGTGTCTCTTGCTCTCACATTCATCAACTGCGCATGAATTTACAATCTTTTACCAAAGGTTCCTCCTCCATTCTGAGTACTTGCAGCGCATCAAGGAGATTATTGATGCTCTTGCTACAGCTGGTGCTCCTGTTGATAATCATGATTTGCTTCTTATTATTCTCGATGGACTCCCTGATGAATATGATTCTTTTGTGGACTCAGTACAGTTTCGATTGGCTGATACTTCAGTTGATGATCTTCATGGCTTCTTGCTTAGTAAAGAAATGGCTCTTGCTTACAAGAAACAAGCTTAAGGATCTTCCACTGCTAAATTTTATCAAGCTCTTAACTCCATTCAAGCAGCTTCAACTCTCCCTCATTTGCTTCCTACACCTCAGGCATACACTGCTTAGAACACCAATCCTTCTAACTTCACCAGAGGCAATTCTCAGCGCCATAACAATTCTTACAATCGTGGAGGCAATCGCTATCGATCCAATCGCTACAACAATAATTCTTACAATCGAGGAGGAAATCGTGGTGGTTTTTGTTATTCTACAAATACTTTCAAAGCCAATGCTTGCTAAATCTGTGAAGATCCAGGTCATCTTGCTATTGACTGCTCAAATCGGATGAATCTTAATTTTTAGGGCCGAGTTCCACCAGCTAAACTTGCAATGTATGCAAACACCAACATTTCTTCTCCTCCTCCAGGGCTGCTTGACTCTGGCGCAAGTTCTCACATGACCAATAATCTTAACAATATCCAAAATCCACATCCATACAATAGTCCTGACCAAGTGTATATTAGAGATGGCCAAGGTTTACCAATTCTCCACTCTGGTTCTACTTCACTTTATACACCTACTGCAAATTTTCATTTAAATAATGTGTTGCATGTTCCACAATTAAAGCATGATCTACTTTCTGCAAATATGTTTCTTCGGGACAATTGGTGTTCATTGACTCTAAATCCTTTTGACTTTAATGTCAAGGATCTTACTACGAGGAAGATGCTTTTTAAAGCACATATTCGACATAGTCTCTATCCTTTCTATGCATCTTCTCACTCTTCAGCACCATATCATGCTCATACTGCAATCAAAGCTTCTCCTACTACTTGGCATCAATGTTTGGGGCATCCCACGTTCAAGACTTTGCAATATGTGCTCTCAAAGTCTGCCTTGCCTATTTCTAGTTTCCTTCAACATATTTTCTATTCAAATGTGTTTTAGGCAAATGTGCCAAGTTACCATTTCAGAATTCTATTTGTAATACATCTAGACCTTTAGAGTTGGTTCATGCAGATGTTTGGGGACTAGCTCTATTGCTTTCTGTAAGCGGCTATCGGTTTTATATCATCTTTGTTGATGACTTTACCAAATATACTTGGTTGTATCCACTTAAGTACAAGTCAGATGTATTTCAGAATTTCATTGAATTTCAAGCATTTGTTGAAAACTTGTTTGGCTATAAAATTGGAACCTTGAGATTTGATTTAGGGGGTGAGTTTCTCAGTTCTAATGTCAAGCACCATCTTTCTGTTCATGGCATTCAACATCAATTAAGCTGTCCACATACACCCCAGCAGAATGGTTGTGCAGAAAGAAAGCACATGCATGTTGTCGAAACTGCCAGGACTCTTCTTATTGCTTCTAAGGTTCCACATCATTTTTGGGTAGAAGCTTTTCTTACTGCAGTTTACTTGATCAATAGACTACCTCTAGTGTCTAAACCTTCACCATGGGAACAATTCTTCAAAAAGTGTCCAGATTACTCTTAACTTAGAATTTTTGGTTGCAGTTATTTCCCTTGGCTTAAACTTTATACTAAATGAAAACTAGACCCTAAAAGCAAGCCATGTGTCTTCATTGGTTATGACCTCTTTCATAAGGGTTATAGATGCTTGGATCCCTCTACAAATCGAGTTTATGTATGTCGACATGTCCATTTTGATGAAGCCACATTTGCTTTTCATAATTCCAACCTTCTTCAACAACAACAAACCACATGTTCCTCATCACCTCATTCTTTCTCATTTTCTCTCACTTTTCCCAAACTCTACTCTCTCTCTTAGCATTTTCCCATTTCACAATTTGCCTCACTCTCTTAACCTCATACCACTGCTCCAAGTTCTCCCTCCCCTCCAAATTCAAACCCTGCACCCACACTCCTACCAGATTCACCCATTCCAAACCCTGCACCAAGTTCTCATACCCTACCTGAACCTGCAACTACCATTGCACCAACCTCATTATCCACAGTCTCTATTCACCCTATGCAAACTCGATCCAAATTAGGGATCTTTATACCCAAAGCCTTTACAGCAACTAAACAACCACTCCCTCCTCACCTTGACACATAGTTTGTCCCATCTACATATCTCCAAGCCTCCAAGTATTCACATTGGAGAGCTACAATGTATGATGAATTTAATGCCCTCCAAAACACTGGAACCTGGAAACTTGTACCTTCTGATTCTACCTACAATATTGTTGGCTGTAAGTGGGTTTTTCGGATCAAAAGAAAACCTGATGGATCTGTGGACAGGTACAAAGCTCGACTTGTTGCAAAATGGTACAATCAACAAAAGGGAATGAACTACAGTGACACCTTTAGCCTAGTGGCTAAACCAGTAACTATTAGAATTCTTCTCACTCTTGCAGTTCAGTCCAACTCGTTTTTGCATCAACTGGATGTAAGCAATGCATTCTTGCATGGTTTCTTGAAGGAAAATTTCTACATGTCTCAACCTCCTGGCTTAATTGATCAAGATCATTCCAATCATATTTGTCATTTGCAAAAGTCTCTCTATGGCTTAAAGCAAGCCCCTTGAGCATGGTTTGAAAAACTTCAATCTGCATTACTATCTATGGGTTTCCAAGCTTCTCAATCTAATCACAGCTTGTTTGTTCTTAAACAACCTATCTTGGTCTTGGGGGATTACTCAACTTAATGCTCAGTTTCCAGTTAAGGACTTGGGGGATTTGCACTATTTTCTTGGCTTGGAAGTTACTCGATCTGCTTTATGAATTTTTCTTCATCAGTCCAAATATATTTTGGATCTTCTCAAACGAACTAAAATGGATGGAGTAAAACCTTGCATTACACTTCTTGGTTCAACAAAATTGGATCTCACAGGTTCTCCATTAACCAATCCTGAAGAATATTGATCAATAGTTAGGGCACTTCAGTACCTCACTTAGACTCGACCTGATCTTTCCTTTGTAGTCAACTTAGTGTGCCAGTTTATGCACTCTCCTAAAGAACCACATTTTCAAGCAATTAAACGTATCCTTCGATACCTTAAAGGCATTCTTGGACATGGTTTATGGTTTCCCAAAACTTCTTCACATCTCACCCTTAAAGCATTCTCAGATGCTGATTGGGCAGGATGTTCTTGGGATCGACGTTCTACTGGTGGTTTCTGCATATTCCTTGGTTCCTTCATCATTAGTTGGAGTGCCAAGAAGCAACACATTGTTGCTCGTTCATCCACAGAGGCTGAGTATAGGTCCTTTGCTCACACTGCTGCAGAATTGACATGGATATGCAAATTGTTCACGAATATTAGATTTCAGTTGCCTTCTCTACCACAAATTTGGTGTGACAACATTTCAGCCATCACATTGGCTTCCAATCCCATGTTCCATGCCTGTGCCAAGCATGTCGAGATCGGCTATCACTATATTCGAGAGCTAGTCCTTGCCAAACTTCTCACGGTTCAGTTTGTGTGCAGCCAAGATCAAATTGCTGATATTCACACAAAATCTCTTCCCAGACAGCGATTTCTTCATCTTCGTACGAAGCTTTCACTTCAACCTTCTCTGTTTAGCTTGACGGGGTGCGAAGAGAAAGTTACCGAAGTAAATAGTAATAACCAGTTGTGAAAAAGTTAGTTAGGAAAGTCACCTTTGTAATTTACTTTTTCTGTTTTGGTTTGTTATTTCCTATAAATACTCTTTGTAACTTAATCATTAAAAAATGAATGAAAACATTTCTCAATACTGCACAGAGAGAGGGAGAGAGAGACCTTGCAGAGAGAGATATCATTGGTGTTCTCAGTCTTCGACTCCCATATCTGTTTCATTCAACAAATCAGCACGAACCCAGATATATTTTTAACATTTACAACAAAACTCACCAACCAAGTTCCAGTAATTCATCTAGAACTCCCCCTGCGTCACCAATTCCAAGTTTATAATTTCTTTGGAATATGTTTCAGACTTCTCTCAAAACGTCTATGGCGGCGAACCCAAAAAGCCACCCTTTTTAACCGATCCAAAAGTTTCACCCTTTCCGACTCCCAAAACAACTGACTATTTATGGGTTGTTGCTGATTTCGCTGCCCATTCAAGCTTTACAGTAATGGCCTCGAATCCGGAGAACGAACCTAGGGCCTCGAGAGAGGTCGAGAAGCCGCCGATTGAGCCCATACGGCCACTTACGGTGGAGGAGATGCGCGGCCAAGACATTTGGAATACCTGCGCCGTCCGCAGTGTCGTTAGTGGAGTTATGGGTATGGCTAAAGTTCTTTCCTTTGGCTTAATTTTTGGATTTTCTCACATGGATTTTGATTCTTTTTTCGTCTTTTTCTGTTTGGTTGCTGAGAAAATGTGGGAAAGTTTCTACCATTTTTACTGTTGGTTTTTATTTTTTCTCCCTTATCTCTGTTTGGTTGCCGAGGAAACGTGGGAAAGTTACTGTCTTTTTGTTCGTCTGTTGTCTCGATTTATATATTTGTGGGTTTCAGAATGTGCAGAAGATTGGTGTATTGGTAAGGTTGTGATAGGTTTAGTTGTTCAAACATAATTGTTACTGTTGGGGTTTGAATGTATCAAAAAAGGTCTAAAATTCATTATTTTAAAGTGAGTATTGGGGTTTTCTCAGTATAGCAAATTCTACCAGAAGGTTACATTGGAAATTGTTCTACGGTTTCCACAAATTTTTTGGAATTCAAATCCCCTTTTAATTAAGGAATCAGACTTTCTTGGGTTTCCAAAATCTCATCGTCTCTCAATATTATGTTTTCAACTTCTATAAACAAAAAGGTTATTCATCGTCTCTGACTTGCTTATGCATGTCAGCGTTGCAAACGATTTACAATTATCAACTGGTAAGACTAGAACTGGTACCGCTTGCATGCCAAATTAACAACCCGCCATTTTTAAGTTTTACGTATAATTTGTTCAGGGAGCCTATTGTTGGGAAATCGTATTTACGAGGAAGGTGCATTCATTGAGTTTGTAGTTTTTAGAGAGCATATATGTAGGGATGATTTAAGGGCGTAAACTGAGATTTTCTATCTGAGACCAGATGAGTTCTGAAAGACAAACAACAATCTCTTCTCCATTTGAAGTTCATTCAACTTTAAGGAAAAGGTTTACTTATTCTGCTGTGAAATAGTAAGTTGGGGCTTAGTATGTGTTTGAGTGTTCTACTGTGATCGTAAAACTTCTTTTTGTGAGGTTAATTGAGTTTTATTCGTCCTTTTTTCCATAATTTTCAGTTGGTCCTATTTCATGATGCTGTTTTTTTTTTTTTTTTTTTATTTTATTTTTCTGTCTTTTTTTTTTTCTCGTCACTGTTAAATGTTGCTTGACCTCTTTGTGGACTAATTTTTCATGAATTTTTTTTTTCATCTCAGTGAAACATATATCAATCAAACCAACAAGGCTGTGGTGATGGGAATAATCGTTCTAAGGTATGTATCTGAGTGTGATAGTATGCCTTTCGTGTACTCTTTGTCACCGTTGCTTTTTGCTTTTTGCTAAATACTTTGTCAACTAACAAGGGGTTTGGTTATGGAATTGGTTGTGGAATTGTATATAAATGGTTATGACGAAAGTTTAATATTTCAAATGAAGGTAAAGTATGTCGATCTTCTCCTTTTGTCCAGTTTCAATGTACTAACAGAAGCAGTTATAATAAGCAATATTTTCAACAATAGTGTTGGTTTTTGTTAGCAACCTTTGCAGGGAGTCCACTCGCATTGGAGTTCCTGAAAATATGAAATTTAGAGAGTGCCGCATTCTATTCGTTATACTAGACAAACAGGTTGTAGTTGTACAGTATAAGTTAGATTTCACAATCTTTTTCATGTCGAAGATTATCTACAATAAGATTGATTGAGATTTGTATGCTTCTAAATGCTAATGGTTAGAGAAGGATACAAAATTGTACCTGTAGCCTGCCATAAGTATCACACTTTCTGTCTATAATTCTCTGTAAACTTTACTTCACTTTCTTCAATTTTATATTGTGTACTCAAAAATTAAAAAAAAAAAATTGAATTGAAGTCATTTTTTGTAGCTTTTTCTCCTCTACTAAATAGATAGAGAATTCATACGCGAGACATAATTACAGAAATGTCATTCTGCATGACAAATTTGAGAAGGAACAAAATAATACTCTATACAGAAATGTCATAAGCTTCACTTAGTCAGCTTATACAAAATTGAAAGCAGAATGACCCAAGTCTTCAAATGATGTGTCATTAACAATGATTTATGTGTCATGTTAATACTAATCGCGGTTGGTTTGATTTCGGTACTGATACATTGAAGAATTCTTAGGCAAGAAGATCTCTTTTTTTGTAACTTGTATCGGAAAAACACAACCCGTCAGTTTTAATCAGGTGCACCACAAAGCACATACCGTTGACATTCTCAAACATATTCGGAAGTTCTGTACATCAGTAAATAAACAAATGATTAGTTCTCTCCCTCCCTATCCATACCTGCAGGCTACAAGAATATAACCTCTATGCTCGCACCATGGCTGAATAAAGTACATACATCGTCATCAGCTTTTTGTAGCAGTTCTCGCTGCTGTACCAATAATATTCCACCCCCTCTCCTTTTCCCTATGACTATTAGGCTTCTGGCTTTCTTAGTTCCGGCTCTTCTAGCATTTCCTAGTAACACCCTGTTCCCCATGCACGCTCGACTTCCAATAGAGACTCTAACTTTCTCCATCCCCACATTCACTCCTTTTCTCATGTGCGGTGGCATTGGGGATTTTCTGGATTTTCTTTTGAAGGCTTCGTCTCAGTATGCTGTTTAGCTTTTTGCCGCCATTTCTGATGACTTTAGGACTACTACAAGGTGTCTGTTCCGGCAAGCAGTCAGTCTCAGTCACATCTGGATCAACTTTCTTATAAGCATGGCATACTATAGGTGCCAATGGTAATGCAGGTGGTGGGGATTGGACACGAAATGGTACACTTGGAAGTGGGATTAGGGAGTTGCGCCTTGGAGCTGTGTTTACTGGAATCCGCTGAAATGCCGGACAAGTAGAGGCCCTTCCAGCTTTCTTTGGAACAAGAAATTGTTCAGTCATTTCGGGGTTGTTTTCTTTCTCCGTAGCATCAAGATGCTTGATAAAACCATCCGATACATGAAAAAGGGGCGCTGAGGGTTTGTTGTTGGTCTTCTCCATCAGTGGTTGCAGAGGGTTTACTTGGTCTTTTCCCAATGTGCTGCCTATTTCACTGAGGATCTTGTGACTTGCTAATGGTCGGTTTGTAAACCGTTGCTCATCCTGTTGGTGTTTCATTTGCTACTGGTGTTGCTCAGCTATCTTTGTGACAACGTGCTGTCGTGCCAGCTTTCTCTCGATTAAGAGTTGTGCTTCCAATTCTAATTCTTTTACCTGAAAAATAAACCAGAGTAGTAACTGAAATTCTTATAATTTATGTATATAAAGTGAAAAAGACTTTTCCTTAAAATACCTTGTCTTGCAGGTTTTTATTTTTCAGGTCTCCTTCTTTTACCTTCAGTTCTAATCCATGAACATCTTCCTGATCTGTACATCTTTGCTCTTGACGTCTAGTTTTGTTTTCTCAAACTAGCAAACCAAAGATTCGATATTGTTAAAAACTTAATAGACGATTTATTCAATCACAAGAACGGTACCAAAAGATCAAATCTGGAATCTGCAGTAGCGTCAAGTGCAGAATAATTACCATCTATTTGTATCTCAAAAGTTCAGAAGTGTCCAGTTGCCTCTTTGTAGGACCCAATTCTATCCCTCTCACTCTGCTTGCAAATTTGGTTTGCAAATTTGATTTAAAAAATTTGATCTCTCTAAGATTACCCATTCTATTAATATCTATTTATATATCATTCTATTTTGCAATTTAAGTTTTTTAAGACAATTATGTTTTTCCAAGTAAAAGTTGACATATATGTGTGTGTGTGTATATATATATATATAATTAAATAAAAAAAATCTAGGCTTCCGATAGGGTTTGCAATTCAAACCGTTAAACCCAGTAACTATGAATAATCTCCTGAACGAAAAGGGTTTGAGTATGAAAATTTGGGTATATTTTGGATGTGGGGAAAAACCGTAAACATTATTCGGTTATGATTTTGAATATGGTTATAGGGGTCCTCAATCTGAATCCGACCCGAATGGTATGTACAATATAGAATATAATTTATATATAATGTAAGAGAAATATTATTAGCACTTTAAAATCTAATTAAGTTGAAAATACAAAAGTTGCATTGTGTGAGCACAAAAGTTGCATTTTGTGGGAAAGGTCAAAAGTCTTGAATTACAATCAATGAGAATTCAATGGTGCTTATGAGAGAGGGCAAACATTAGCCAACATCATCAATGTTTTATGATATTTAATTATCTTGAACAACTCCAAAAAAAAAATGTTATATTTTCTATGATTAGACGTAGATATTTAATAACGACATTAGTATCTACTAAATTATAGTGCATCAATTGAATAAATATATTTTGTATTGACAAAGATTGATATAACCGTTAACGATAGGGAATTTGTTACTCGGTGCGATTATGGATAATCCCGAATGGTTAATTTGTAGTTATGAATTTGGTTAATTTTTCATGGTTATAGGGATGCGTATAACATTTTCATTCCCAAACCGAACCGTCGCGATCCCTAGCCTCCTCCTAAGCCGGCCGCCAGACTGCCGAGTAGCGAGTTTTAGAACATCGACTTTAGAGATGTACATATATGCCCAGATAAGTTGAAGTAACTGGCGCTTCAACTGTAAATGGTATGATCCCATATCTCGCCAATTTTGTTCCGAACATACATTTTCTAATGTGAACGTAATATTTTGTATTGTCTTCCTTGTAACTGAATTTTATACACGGCTAAGTTATTAATCCAATGGAAACAGTTTTTGAAACAAAGAGAAAGATTACTTGCCAACAGACTGACAAAATATACAAGTGAAATTAATTAAGCTTGTAGCTATACTGGTTACAACCTTTACTCACATGGAAGGCCAAAATTCAAACTGATCACTGATCCCTTTGGCCACGACTATCCCAACCAGAAAACTGTTGAAGTTTATGGATGGAGTGTTTAATTTCTGGGTTTAGTTTTGAAGTATGAAGAAGAGGAAAGAAAACTTGAAACTCTCTGGAAAAGGAAAGCCTTCTGTTTTTTTTTTTTTTCTTAATGGAATGTGGCTGCTCTGTTTCTTTTCAGAGCATAAAACCAACTTTTCCCTTTTCATTCTTTTAAGCACTAAATCCAATCTTAGCCGTACATAGTAGGTCATCAATATGATGATGACACATGGCTATCACAAGGACATATGAGACGTTCAAAAGTAAATGGATCCAGAACCTAAACTTGTCATATAAGACAATACAAAGACAATTAAGGAAATCTGAAAACAACTTAACTATCAACATTCCATCTTAAGTTGTTCACTGATTTCACACTAAGGAGATCTCTTAGAAAACAAAAAGAGCTTTAGGAAGAGCCTTAGTGAAAATATCAGCAAGCTGGTCTTCACTCTTGCAATACATGATGTCAATCACATTTTGCTGCAATGCTTCTCTGATAAAATGGTACCTTCTATTTATGTGTTTCGATTTTTGATGGAAGACAGGATTTTTAGTCATGGCTATAGCTGATGTGTTGTCACACATAAGTGGAGTAGCTTCTGCCGGCATTTCTCCAAAATCTTCTAACACAAATCTTAGCCAAATGGCTTGAGTTGTTGCTTCAGTTGCACTGACGTATTCGGCTTCTGCAGTTGAGAGAGCAACACTGTGTTGCTTCACAGAGGCCCAAGAAAACACACCACTTCCAAATGTGAATGCATATCCAGAAGTGCTTTTCATGTCATCCTCACACCCACTCCAGTCACTATCACAATATCCTATAAGTACAGCTTTCTTTCCCTTCTCAAACTCAATTCCAAAATCAATGGTCCCTTGTATATATCTTAGGACCCTTTTGGCAGTTCCAAGATGTTTCTTGGAGGGAGAGTGCATAAATCTTGCCAACAGTGATGCAACAAACATAATGTCAGGCCTAGTGGCAGTTAGATATAGCAAGCTGCCCACAATCTGCCTGTAAACTCCTTCATCAGTGGATTCATTTCCATCATTCCTGCAAAGTTTTTCATTTGTAGCCAGTGGTGTGCTCACTGGTTTACAGTTCTGCAAACCAAACTTGTCTAGCAGAGATAGAGCATATTTTTTTTGCCCAATGAAGACCCCTTTTTCACTTTGCAGAATCCCCATGCCAAGAAAATGGTGCAACAGTCCCAAGTCTGTCATTTTATACCTATTCATCATATCAAACTTGAATTCTAACATCAATTCTTCACTGCTGCCAGTGTAAACTATATCATCCACATAGATTGAGATGATTATAGTTTTAGTACCATTTCTTACCTTAACATAAAGTGTAGGTTCACTGGGGCTCCTCTCAAATCCACATAAGATGAGATATGCATCAATTTCTTCGTACCAGGCCCTTGGTGCTTGTTTCAGGCCATATAATGCCTTCCTTAACTTATAAACCTTTTCTTCTGCATTCTGAATTACAAAACCTTCAGGTTGGTCTACATAGACCTCTTCATGTAGAGTTCCATTTAAGAAGGCAGATTTGACATCAAGTTGGAACAATCTCCAACCTTTCTGGGCTGCAAGAGCTATTAGTGTCCTAATAGTATCCATCCTTGCTACCGGAGCGAAGGTTTCATTGAAATCCACTCCGAGCTTTTGAGAATATCCCTTAGCAACTAGTCTTGCCTTGTGTTTTTGTATAGAACCATCAAGATTGAGTTTGATCTTATATACCCATTTAACTCCAATGACTGGCTTGGATATAGATCTGTCCACCAACTCCCAAGTTTCATTCTTTTCTATCATGGAGATCTCATTATCCATAGCTGCCTGCCATGCTTTATCTTTTGCAGCTTCTTGATAATTTTCTGGTTCTATGATACACATTTTGCACCTTGAATAGATATCAGTTAAGCTTCTTAACCTAACCGCTGTAGAGGTAAGAGTTGCTAAATTCTGGACCCTTACGCTTGAATCTTGTGTTCCAGTAGTGTCTTCGCTTTGTATTTGATCTGAAGCAGGTGCTGATTCCACTTGCTCAGTGATTTTATCATTGATCTCAACATTCAGTGGAACTGAAATAGGCATTTCCCTTTGTGTTTCCCAATTCCAAGCTAAGTTCTCATAAAAAATGACACTCCTAGACAATATTACTTTCTTGGAATGCAGGTCATACACTCTATACCTTTTTCACATTTTCCATACCCAATGAAGATTCCCTTCATTGCAGATTCCTCCAATTTGTGCCTCAGTTGACTAGGCACGTGATAGTAGCATATAGAACCAAAGACCCTCAAGTGCTTGACTCCTGGCTTCCTGCCACTAAAGGCTTCAAAAGGTGTTACTTCATGAAGTGATTTGGTAGGACATCGATTAAGAATGTAGACTGCAGTTGTTACTGCTTCACCCCAGAAATTATATGGTAAATGCTTCTCATGTATCATAGCCTTTGCCATCTCAACAATTGTCCTATTCTTCCTCTCAGCCACTCCATTTTGCTGAGGGGAATAGGCAATTGTGAGTTGTCTTTCCAAACCAACATCTTCACAAAATTTCAAAAACTCAGTGGAGGTGGGTGTATTCTCCCCCTCTATCACTCCTCAACTTCTTGATTTTGAATCCACTTTGTAGTTCTACCATGGCCTTAAACTTCTTGAAGATATTGAAAACTTCAGATTTCAAATTCATCAGGTATACTCAGCACATCCTGGTGTAATCATCAATAAAGGTTAGGAAGTATTTGTTACCTCCTATGGTAAAGACTTGCATTGGTCCACATACATCAGTATGGATCAATTCTAGAGGTAGAGTGGCTTTCCATGCTTTCTCCTTGTCAAATACCTCTCTGTGAGCTTTACCTATAGCACACCCTTCACAAACTTTGGATGTATCTTTTATCTCAGGTAGCCCATAAACCATTTCCTTTTGTTGTAGAGATTTTAGACTCTAGAAATTCAGATGCCCATATCTCCTATGCCAATTCCAGGTGGTCCCTTCAACAGTTGCTCTTCTAGCTACTTCATTTCCATATTCAAGTGTCATAGGGAAACACCTATTGCTGGTCATTTGCACCCTTTCCAAAAGGTTCTTAAAGGTTTTGTCATCAAAGATATCCACTAGATAATCCCCAAATACCAAGAAGTACCCATGTTCAACCATTTGGCCTACACTCAAGAGGTTTTCATCTAGTCCTGGCACTAGCATGACCTCCTTTATGTATCTTTTTCCATGTATGGTGTCAATAACCAATGTTCCATTTCCAATAGCTTGAACTAAGTCACCAGTACCCATCTCTATCACATTTCTGTTCACTTCAATCGAGAGGGATTCATGGCCATTCATATGATTGCTACATGCACTGTCCACATACCATACACTAGAATTTTTCACCACAGAGGCTGAGTGACAAGCATAAAACATAGTTCCCTCTTCCTTTACTTCATTTGCATAATTTGCTGCAGGTATAATTTTGCTTCTGCAGTCCTTTGCTAAGTGACCAAATCTGTCACATTTATGGCACTTGGGTTTTCCCTTAAACCAACAGGTTCCATAATGTAGTTTGTTGCAGTGAACACAGGAAATCTTTGTTCCTTCACCTTGATTCTCCTTCTTTGGGACATTTGCAGATTTTACATCCATTTTCTTGCCTTTGTTCTTCCAATTGTTCTTGAATTTTGAGCTACCCCCATATGAGGAACTTGGTCCTTCTCTGGGATTGATAATCAAGGATGAAAAAGCCTTCTCTGAACCATAGTCAGCATGCCTTTGTAGTCTTTGTTCATGTGACTTCAAGGAACCCACAACTTCTTGCACACTAATTGTATATGTGTCTTTGGTTTCCTCTATAAGTTCTGCAATCGAATCATAGCTCCTAGGTAGACTAATCAAAAGTTTTTGTACAATTCTTTGATCAAAAAGTTCTTCCCCATATGACCTCATTTGATTCACAAGCTCAAACAATTTAGATACATACCCAGATAAAGAATCATCATCCTTCATTCTAAGATGTTCAAATTCCCTCCTAAGCCCTTGCAATTTCACAGATCTTACTTTCTTATCACCAACAAATTCTGATTTTAGAATATCCCAAGCAGCTTTGGAGGTTACCTGTTGAGCTATGCGAGGAAATATATCATCTGAGACTGCATTTTGAATCAGTCCTAGTGCTTTTGCATCTTTAGTGACGTTGTCCTTCAGTGCTAGTTTTTCAGCTGCTGTAAGCTCTTTCTCATCCTTCTCATCTTTTTCAGGTTCTTCATACCCTTCTTCAACTAGTCTCCAGAGATCCTGCGAGATGAAGATCGTACGCAGCTTGATCATCCAGAAATCATAGTTACTTCCATTCAAAATGGGAGCTCGTAGCTCACCACCTCCGGCTCTGGCCATCTGAGACTGAACTGTCAGAGATTAGGGTATTTCGTTGATTTCCCCTTTTCTGCTTCGCGATTTCACAACGCCCAGATTCAAATTCAAACCTGTGCTCTTGATACCATGTTGAAGTTTATGGATGGAGTGCTTAATTTCTGGGTTTAGTTTTGAAGTATGAAGAAGAGGAAAGAAAACTTGAAACTCTCTGGAAAAGGAAAGCTTTCTGTTTTTTTTTTTCTTAATGGAATGCGGCTGCTCTGTTTCTTTTCAAAGCATAAAACCAACTTTTCCCTTTTCATTCTTTTAAGCACTAAATCCAATCTTAGCCGTACATAGTAGGTCATCAATATGATGATGACACATGGCTATTACAAGGACATATGAGACGTTCAAAAGTAAATGGATCCAGAACCTAAACTTGTCATATAAGACAATACAAAGACAATTAAGAAAATCTGAAAACAACTTAACTATCAACAAAAACAACATTAATGTTCACTGTGATCAAGTCCAATAAGAAATCATGGCTACGTATCCTTCAACTAGATCTCGAGGCTGAAATTAAAACATTCAAATCACACTTATTTTTTCTCCTTTTTTTTTTTTTTTTTTTTTTTTTTTTTTTTTTTTTTTTTTTTTTTTTGCATAAAGTACATAATGGTAACCATAAATCCTTTATCACTAAGTCAAACGGGACTAAGCAAACTAACAAGTAATTAAACACCATTATTAAATTGAGACCTTGCGGAGCCAACTGATCTTTTCCTGTTTTTGTGGAAAAGTTGATAGAGGCTTCAACTGGCTGATGAAAGTCGATCCAACGAACATTGCTATTATTGGAGCGAATAAACCAACAGCCAATAAAGCCAATAATAGTGCGGAGCCTTTGGACAGAAACGCAAGAGTTCCTGAAGCATACGCGGCCATCATTCCTCCAATGGACATGTGGAGGAGCGCTCCAGTTACGTCTTCTTTTCTATAGATCGATAAAAATCTCTCCCAGAATATAGCTAAAATCACTAAAGTTGATGAAAAGAAGGAGAAACAGTTGAATACCAGAAAAATTTGGAAAAAGATATTTTCCTCTAAAACTGCAGCTCCATCACTTTTATAACCTCCAGGAAGAGTTAAAGCCGCTGCAAATGTGACGGTTGCGATAAGCACAGCGACTATTAGATCGGTATCAGTTCCATTCATGACCTGATCAGTACAATTTTCGGGTAGCTTTTGACCGTTGACTGTAATGTTTGGCTGCGTATTGGAGGTATCCTTCTCTGGAGAAGATTCCATTTTTTTTAATTCACGGCTGATTTGTTGTTGGAAAAATGGCACACCAACGGACCTCCCCAGCTGGTCTAGAGCTCTCACACCCTAAAACATATAGAAACTCAATTTGTGGACAATAAAAATGAATACAAGTATTGTGACACTAATTATTTGGGTAGGAGTTTCTTCACAAAGCAGCGGAACACTTTCAAGTGAAGTTTTAAGGTACAATGAATTAGTATCTTTAAAATTCGTTGTATTTGTCAGTGTTTCTTACCTGCTTTCCAATATTGTCAGCAGCAAAATTGTCAGCAGCAATATCAACAGCCTTTGACAACTCCTTATTGATAGCAGACTTATGCACCCTATCATTCCTTCTCAAAATTTCTCTACTCTCCCATTTTTTATGAATGACGGCCAGATGCAAAGGAGTGTTTCCATCTTCATCTGCTTCATTTGTAAGTCTTTCAAGCTTAGGTGTCTTCAATACGTACTTAATTACGTCTGTTTGTCCACCCAAAACTGCAGAATGAAGAAACTTTTGGCCTTTGGCATTAAGCAAATCACAAGTATCAGGCCGACATCGAATCAAATCATCCGTTATTTTTAGGTGGCCTGCATAGGCCGCGACATGGAGAGCTGACATTCCCGATTTGTCCAAGATGTAACAAGCAGAGCTATCACATTGCATCAACACTCGAACTGCTTCAAGGTTCCCTCTAAATGCTGCATAGTGTAAGGGAGTCCACCCAAGTGCGTCAACTTCTTTGATAATATCAGGATTTTTGGATACCATAAGCGCCACATTGCCTTGCATGTTTATATACAGAAGTTAGATCACTTACAGCTAGTTAGGGATGATGAGAATATTAGAAGGAAAATGATTTCCGCACACCATTTTATTCACACCCCTATTTAGTTCTGTCACTTGATTCTCTTTTAATTTTTCAATCAAAGGGCCAGAAATAAACAGGGTGTGCATAGGGAGAAAACGTCGTGTGAGGAAATCACTTCCGTGTATCAATATCTCTTCGAAAAGGTTGGCTGTTGCGTGAATTATATGATGATAAGAGTACCAGATGTTAACTATGATTCTCGTGTAGTTATAATTAGTTACCTTTTGCTTTTCTGTCTCCTTGAGTAACTGCTGCATGTAAAGCTGTCACGCCGTTGATCCCTTGAAAGGAAGGGGATACTGGACAATTTAGGATAGAACCAGCTATGAGTTGAAAGCCATGGGAAACAGCTAAGAACAAGGGCGACTCCTCTGCGCTATTAGTAAAACAACACAATTGAGGGTCAGCTTTAATTAAGAGGATTGCCACTCCATCGTGTCCATATCGAGCAGCAGCATGCAATGCCGTATCCTTGTCAAAATTAGTCATTCGGAGTAGGTTTTTATGAGCTTCACCGTCAGCTGGGCCGCTCTCCTGATCAGCTCCGCCGCTCTCCTGATCAGCTCCGCCGCTCTCCTGATCAGCTCCTTTAATGTGTAACGTTTTGGCGTGATTAATGAGGAACTTAACTACTTCAGGGCAGCCTACTCTGGCAGCAATGTGGAGGGGAGTTTCGCCTTTCTTGTTGGTGGCCCAAAACAACGGTGATTGACTGTCAAGCCGGATTTTTTCGAAGAATTTTATTTGCTTGTATTTGGCTGCAATATGAAGAACATTGTTGTCTTTAGGTGTTTTCTGATGGAGAAGGTCAATTGATTGATCGACGGTATGACCCAACATAGCCGCCTTATACAAGGAAGGATCCATGGCAAGCTTTGATCCTTCTCGTTCCTTCTCTCGCTCTCAAACACAAAACTTTCTCAAATTAATCGAGAAATTAAGCACCATTTGCATTTGAGAATACCGAGGGAACCATATGTTTAATTAATCGGTGAGGCATTTGGGGCAATGATTTCAACTTTAGCTTTATTGAAGCTTTTGTGGGTATTGGTTTCTGAATTTGTTATAATATGAAGTAATTGTGCTTTTGGCTAACTCCTTTAAAAAGCAGTTGGTTAATTCCGTTACAAAGTAATGGTCTTTTTAGCTAGCTCCATTAAAACTTCTATTCAAAATAAAGGGTTTAAAAGGACAAAAAAGTTGATGGAACTTCAAATGAAATTAGCCAAAAGGATAATTGTTATATATTATAACAATTTCTATAATCAATACTCACGAATTTTTAATTCAATGACCAAAATTTCAATTGGGCCAAAATTTTAAGTTCTTCACCGGCCGGGTCTACGTATTTACATGTATAAAAACAATCAAGATGAGAGAGTCTACGAAGTTGAACGCGACCATATTTTGTTTGTCAAACTAGAAACTTTTATTAATTAAAAAAACTATTACATGAAATAGAAGGTCCAAAGGGTTACAAGCATAGCCGGTAAGAAAATAAAATAAAAAGGGTTTTTATGTCCTTAAGATTGATTAAACTCATCATTTCGGTCACTCACTTTCAAAATCAATCAATGTCGTCCTTGACATTCACCACCACACATCAATTTGGTCATTCCGTTTAGATTCTGTCAATTATTTTGTTAGTTTGTATGTGGGACCCACAAGTCCAATAAAATGGTGACAAGTGGATTACACAAAACAAGAGTTTTTATCACAAATGGTCTCTGATATTGACCAAACTCCTTATTCTAGTCCCTGAGTTTCAAAAATCAATAAATTTGGTCTCTGACCTTCACTATCGCACATCAATTGAGTCATTCCATTAAAATTTCGTTAATATTTTTTGTTAGTGTGTTGATGTAGTCCCACTAATCCAATCATATGACGCCAAGTGGATCAACTATGAGAAACTATTTTTTTAGAGAAAACCAATTGACGAGTATTCCGCGCTGGCATTTCTCTCGCATCCCACGATCCCAATTGGAAACAAAAAAAATTCAATCTAAATTCGATAAAATCAAATCCAAATTCAATTCAAATTTGATAGGATTATAACCAACTAGAGAAAATGAGGAGTGAGTTCAGGGAGGCCAAGAGCTTTAGTGGTGCCTTGGTGCTTTCCTTTTCTTTTTAAGCATACCAAGATGAAGACGATGATGCTTTTTTTTTTTCCTTTTAGTTTTGGTTTTTAATTTCTTATTTTACTTCTAGTTTTAAATGTTAAAAAAATAGTTTTTTTTTATAGTTAATCCATGTGGCGTCATATGATTGGATTAGTGAGACCATATTTTCACACTAACAAAAAATATTGACAAAATTTTATGTCTAAATTGATGTGGAGTAGTGAAAGTCGGAGACCAAATTTATTGATTTTTGAAACTCTGGGACCAAAATGAAGAGTTTGGTCAATGTCATGAACCATTTTGTGATAAAACCCTTCTTTTGTGTAATCCATGTGTCATCGTTTTATTAGATTTGTGGGTCCCACATACAAACTAACAGAATAGTTGACAAAATCTAAACGAAATGACCAAATTGATGTACGATAATAAGTGTTAGGGAAGACATTGATTAATTTTGAAAGTGAGGAACCAAAATGATGAATTTGGTCAATCTCATGGATTATTGGTGGTAAAAACCCCAACAAAAATGCCCACAAAAAGCAAGGTCACAACAACAAAAACCCTAGATCTGAAAGATTGCTACATCCACCACATCAACTGTGTCGTCATTGTCGATCCACCACCATCACCACCACTAAGAAAAAGAACCCACGAACAAGCTGTTTAACCAAAAATGTGATGAGCAAGCCACCTGCGCAATAAGTGTTGTTTTAGTCAAACAAGCTTCATGGTTGAGGTAAATTTGCCAACAAGTGCTGCTGTCACCGATAGCTAATGTCAACAATGGTTGCTATTTGTCAACATAGTTAGTTACTACTCACAATAAATGTTGTGAGGTGGAAACATGAACCTAATACGAGGTGCAGTTATTAAATGGTCCTTACATATTAGTGGTATACATGTTAGTGGTATTGATTGTAATACAATAGTTGCTATCTGTCAACATAGTTAGTTACTACTCACAATAAATGTTGAGAGGTGGAAACATGAACATAATACTACGTGCAGTTATTAAATGGTCCTTACATATTAGTGGTATTGATTGTAATACAAGAAGCTCGTACGGAGACAATGAAAGATACAGAAAATTGACCCATGATGGGTTTCTGAGAAAATTAGTGAGAGATCCTTGTTCGTGGATCGATGTAGGCTAAAACTTGAGCCACACATCTTTGAACTTGGTGAAGAATTATTTTCTTGGGAGGATTGGATAAGATTAGAATCCTTACTTATTTGAGTTGATTTTCAATAAGAAGAATTTTAAAGATAAAATTTAGTATTAATCTTATTTTTAATGTCTTTAATTTTTCTTCCTATAATTCACCGTTCATTTCTTCAGATATGCTAAATTGAGGGCATTCTTATCTTCTTCGAAACAAATTTTATATGATAATTTCATGATTTCTTAGATTAATTTTTATTCTATAAAATACCCCTACACCTGCTATATTGTATGCAGAAAAGAGCGGGAGTTGCAAAAGTCAAAATGGGTAAGCGAAAAGTTGTTTCCTGAAAAATCCTATTTGTCCTTGATATTGGTCTTTGTTCGTGTGTTGATGTAGGCTAAAATTTAGGATTGGTTTGATATTGTTGTACTTTGAAAAAAAATTTATTTTTGTTGTATTGTGAGAATAAGTTCATTTTTGCTGCTTCACGTTTTTAGCTTTTTTTTCACCTAAAACTGTGAAAATAAGCTGTTTTTAAATGTTTACCAAACACTTTTTTGAGCTCAGTTTTTTTTTTTTATACTCACTTTTTATAAAAGCACTTCAATACCAAACCAGTACTTAATACTAGTTGCAGTGGCCGATATTAGCAGTATAAATTGTAATATAGAGAGAGCTCTGTATAGAGACAATAAAATATTATTTTCTCAAAATAATAGGTCAAATTCATGTATATTTTCATTGTCTTCATATGGAGCTCTCTGTATTCCAATCTATACCGCTAATATCTAAAGACCATTAAATTACTTCAGCTAATATTAAGTTCATGTTCCCACCTCAGTTGACAACATTTATGACCCACAAACCCATTATTTTTGAAGAAAAAGAAAATTTAGTTAGAGATCCTTGTCCATGGATCCATGTAGGTTAAAACTTAAGGAAAACTAATGAAAAGGGCTTAAAAAGTTTTAGTTTTAATAAAAAGGGAATTGTTATTAGCACTCCAAAAATCTCATTCTCTCCCAAAAACCACTTCCAATTCCCTTGCTGAAACTCTCTAAAAAATTCTCAAACACTTTCTCTCTAAATTCTAACTTTGGCATCGGAGGTTCTTCGGCCCAAAGCTCCCTACTCCCCCCCCCCCCCCAATTCTCATCGTGGGCGTGTGAGGCTCTTGGCCTTGACCAAAGGTGTTAATTGTTTTGTAGGTGCAATTTTGTCCAAGATCAAGGAGGAAGAAATTTGCATCCACAATTATTGTCCGTTGCATTCGAGTGGGAATCCCGGTGTGCCTTGAGGGTAATTTTTTCCTTTTTACCCAGAAGTCCATGTGTCACGTCCATAATTTTCTTGATTATTTTTGGCTCCACAAATGCCTCCACACCTGTTGAGCTGCTTGCAAGAAAGGGCATTAGGTGTAGAGATCTTCCCTTGCTTTAGGAAACATAAGATTATTTCCTATTTTGATGTAGATTCTCATATTAATTGGAAATTAGATTCTTCTAGGAAAGGGAAATAAATCACTTCCAAAGTTTATTTAAGTCTGCCTTAAGTAGATGATTAAATCAACTTCAGAGAGCAATGAGAGAGAAAGCTAAAGGATATTTGTTCCCATCCCCTAGTAATCTTATACACTTGCCCATGCAAAAGACTGTCTTTCGTTGCTTTCTTCATCTTCATGTTGTATCAAGGTAAGAAAAAAAATAATTTTCCTTGTCTTCTTAATTTTTGGGAGCCTCGGGGCTTGAAATTTGGCTCAACGGGGGTCGAGGATGTGTGAAAAAAATGGTTGGAAAGCCAGGACATGGCTGCTGCTGTAGGTGGCTTGGTACAACGGTGGCTGGCTGGGTCAGGTGCCGCTCGGCTTAGGTCGAGCTGATGGAGTGCTGAGGCTCTGGGCTGGGCCTGGCATGGGCCATGCATTTGAGCAGCCGGCTAGGCTTTTGGCCTGGCCTTCTAAGAACTGCTTTGCTCCATGAAGTGTACCTCCGCTCGATGTTCTCTAAATGCGGTCCGTGTGATAGTGGGATTCCTCAATCTAAGTTAATTCTTTGACTTGGATATAACCATCAACGAATTCTGGTACTTCTTTGACATATGCCATATTGTTGGAGTTGGGCAGCTGCGATCCTGCAATAAGCTATTCGATCATTCGAGCAAGGGAGATCATGACTGGGCTAAGAAGACTTTGGAGATAAGTGGAGAATGAGAGTCTGATTCTTCCCCTGCGCTGCACGTTCCGACGATTTTCATCACTGATACGTAGACTGCTTAGTCTCTAGGCTGCTTTGTACTTTTGCTAAGCTACTCTCTAATTTGTTGATTGTTCTCCTCTGATTATGTAGATTAGGAATTCGGCTCAACTCCCAAGAGTTCTCCAGATATGAAGAAGGTAAATGTTGCTTTAGGTATCCTTGCTAAGAACCGTGAATGGCGTTGGATGCTTAGTCCTCTTCGCTAGGAGAAAGGTAGGATACCTTCAAGAGAGGAGATAAAACGGATCAAGGCGGATGCATTAACTAGTCTGATAGTTGTCGTGGAGCCTGCTATGAATGAAGGTGGAAAGAATAGATCTTCCCTGCCTGCTCAAGAAATGCCGATTGAGAAAAAATCGAAGGCTTTTGCCGCCACTTGTAAGGGTCCGTCTGCTGCCAATAAACTTGTGATTGACTTAACTTCTTCCAAGGGAAAGAAAGATAAGGCTGCTAGATCTGAGCCAGTGATGCCTACCATGCCAAAGATAGCTAGTACGATTGCTGATAAGATTGCTTAGCATATAGGTTTCATCATGCCCTCAATGCTTAAATATGTGGCAAGACGTCTGTTAAGAGTTAAGTCCT